CCAGAAAACTAAATTAAACTTATTTTATAGACCTAATTTACGTGTGCGCTCTGTTTTGTCCTTTTCACATACCCACATTGCCCTCATGAACATTGAACAACTACATTAGGATGTTTAATTACAAGTTTGCGGTAATAAACGGTGCCGTTTAAGCTTTAAACATGGACAATTAAATATTTTAGTTTAAATAGGACCTCTATTTGTACTACAATAAGTAATTGCTTTTAACTTTTGGTACTTTACAGGGAAGAATTGCAAATATAACTCAACTAATTTTGTAGCACAGCAATTATGTTTACCTACTCGTAAATAAGCTTTTAAAATGTTTTTGTGCCGAAAATTTTATACAAACGTTATGAATGTAATTACTTTTTTACAACTACTCATAAATGTGTAGTTGAGCATAAGTGTTTTAAATAGTAGTTATCTTTACTTCATAATATGTATTTTTGATATTTATGTGTTCCTATTGACAATAGATTTCTTTACATTTTATTACATTTCAGGTACTTACAGTCCAATCGTTAAACTTATATTATTAGAGACCAGTATAAAGATTATTAAGTAATCACCTTATTTAATAACTTCAAATAAACATGTCATGTCAAGTGAGTGAACTCACAAATGTAACATTACGAGTAATATGTTATAATTTATAATTCTTGATTCAAAGTTAGTTCCCAGTTACTTTTGAGTTCTTTTTTGTTGTAATTTTTATTTCTTCAAATTCATTTGAATTTGTTTTATTTGATGTTTTAGTTGTAAGTCCATTATTGAATTGGAGTGAACCTTTAAGATAATGGAAGAATATATCCGTAAATAAATTAATATAATTTGTAGATATGATTTAATTAACATATTCAATGATATGTAAGTGATAGCAAAATTGACTTATAAATGTATAGGGGGAAGTCCCGTAGCGCCGGACGGCACCTAGCGCCGGACACTCATACTATTTTGACAAACGTCAACGCGATCTATTTATAAATCGGTGAAAGGGGTGCGGGGGAACGTAGCGAGACAGGATCACGCAACGCGATTTGCCAGTGAGGCGCACAGTCGTGGTGGAAGCCGTGAATTGCTGTTTTTGGTGGGAAAGCGTTGCGTCACGTAAATTTCAAGTAAGTATTACTGCTATGGTTTTATCCTTAATTGTTTTTGTTATTTGTTAATAAAGACAGTGTTTCACTATAATTATTATATTGTGAAAGTTTTTATTAAATACCTAAACAGTTTTAGTATGAAATACGTAATTTTGGACGTTTCCTGTCCCCTACTTTCGGACACATTGGTGTCCCTTACCACCGGACAGTTTATAGGTTAGCTTTTTTATGAAGCATTTGTACTTATTGTAATGATGATTGTTTGTTGTTTTACAGGATAGAAGGAGAGAGATATTTGAAAATGCAAGAGAGAAAAAAAAAGGAAAATGGGATCAGCAAAGTTTAAAAACTGCGATGAACAAGATTTTGTCCAAAAAAATGAGTTTGAGGGCAGCTTCGTCACGTTACAATGTTCCAAAAAGTACTCTACATGATAAAATAACGACATTGAGCAGTGGAAAAGAAGTCACGTTGCAACCAAAAGTTGGTAGATTCACAAAAACCTTCTCACCCGAGTATGAGCAAGTTTTAGTGGACCACATAAGAGATTTGTCTAATAGATGTCTGCCCCTGATGAAAAACGAGTTTTTGAAGTTAGCTTACGACTTGGCTGAAGCTATGAAGATTCCCCATGAGTAAACAAACCAAACGTGGCAATAACGACAACAAAAAGGAGCCGTTAACTGAAGTATCAAATATAGAAAAAACGACTTGTGTTGTGTGTTTAGAAGACCACGACGAGGACTGGATACAATGCTCCAGATGCCAATAATGGGCTCATGAAGCATGTGCAGACGTTCCAGAATGTGGAGATGCCTACATATGTGATAGATGCTAAAAGTTTTAGAATGTCCGGCGCTTGGGGTTTGAAGATTAACCCGTCCGGTACTAGGTGCCAATGTCAAAGTCCTTTATTTTTTTACCAAAACTTATTTAACACTCCTAAACTATGTTTACGCAGAATTTGTATTTTTGTTATTTGATTTTGATTTTATGTTTTGTTAATTTAAGTAATTCATAAATAAATACATATTTCTCGATGTAGTTTTAATTTTATTTCCTGAAAACCTTATGTGTCCAGCACTAGGGGACTTCCCCCTATTGATTCCAAAAAGTACTTTGAATTTATTTTCTAAAGACATTTTTCACCATTCATCACTAGTCGCAGTTTATCATGAGCTTTATCTACACAATAATTACCCCTCCCTCCTGAGTTAAGATTCGAGACATCACGCCTACCAAACATTCAAAAAATCTTTAAAATCGGTTGAACCGTTTCGAAGCAGTGCAACCACAAACACCGTGATACGAGATATTTTTATATTACATGTACAATTATATGTAGAATATTATTTCATTTAAGTAACGAAATTTTAGCATCTAAACTTCGTTATAATTAAATTTTCGAATACGTGTCGCTCGTCAACAATTACGATCACACTTCATTCTCCCTGCGGCACATTGAATGCAAATTATACTACGCGTAACTACCGAACCGACATGACACTTCACACAGTTGAGCACGTACTCTGTAACACGCTGCCTGTAATACACATTAAATTAAAATTCAAGTTACATACATACTTATATTATAAATGTCAAAGTGAGTTTGTTTGTTTGTTCGCTTTTACGCTTAAGCCAATAAACCAATTTTAAAATTTCTTTCAGTAATGGTAAGCTACATTATCAGCGAGTAGTTTTTACAGCAATAACCACACGGGCGGAGCCGCGGGCAGAAGCTAGTCCATACTAATATTATAAATGAGAAAGTGTGTCTGTCTTTCTGTCTGTTACCTCTGTACTTGCTTGTGAAAAGACTTAGGCTACTTTTACCTCAATATCCGACATTTACGCGGGTGGAGCCGCAGGCAAAAGCTAGTTTTACATAAAATAAACGCCTAACATGAGATTGCACCAAAACATCGATTTACCTACCCCACTGTAAATAACTCATACATTAAAGTAGAATAATAAAATACTCCTTTTCCTACTTTATAAAGTGTTAGACGGAAAACATATTCTACCGATTTTCATTTTAATATAAAAGGTACCTTCTAACTCATTCATCACCGTATCTCGCGAACCGTGTGGAATTTGGTACACTCGATCCTTTGGCCTGCTAAGGGTAAAATGGGATTTAACAAAATTCAACTGCGATCAAAGAACTCGTAATATCTCACGTTAAAGATTCGCCTATTCTAAATAATTAATTTATGTTTATCTTGCCAACCAGTGCTCAAAGCTGCTGCTTATCTTTATAGCGGTAAAAAGCGTTATTATTTAGAGTACAATAAAATATTTACATATTATCAGAGCTTCTTAATTCAAGAATCCTTTCTTCTGCAGGTGCCGTAATGGCGGGGATGTCTGTAAGCGATTAACGAAAAGCCTATGTGAAAGGAACGAGGATGCGGCAAACCCTTCAACGGACATAGTACCCTAAAGTGAATTTAAAAGTATGCTCGAATTACAAAACTGGATTGTCATCTTGAAGATGAGTGTAGAGTTAATATAAAGAGTATATCGTGTAGACAAATTATGCAAAAGTCGAACGTATAGCGGTGTACAGCGGCTGTAGGGGATGCGGAAGCGCGGCGTGTGACAGCGCGCGGCCACTAGCGGCGGATGCGGCGAGGCAGCGTATACAGCGTGAGTGAGGGTCTGGAGCGGTGCGCCTGTGCTAGGTTCGTACCACACCATATTGACCTTAATAGTACATTACAGCGCTTTTAAAATATCAGTAGCATACACAACATGCAGTACAATATATAAGACATGCATTAAAAAAACATGTTAGGATGTCGCCTCAGATGCAAGTATTAGACATTTTCCCGAAAGCATCGTGAAACGCGTAAAATTAAAAACAGAAGAAACGAAGTGAAGGATCTCAACACTTTTAATAATAAGTTGAGTCAGTTGTAGGTATACAACTCTATTTTGTTGCAATTCCTGTTACACTATATCATTAGTTTGCTTGTGCAACTACATCATTAAATATCGTCGAAAATGGCAGTTAAAAATTAGTAAACAGTAGGGTAGTAAGTTCCTCCAATGTAACTAAATTTGGTATAAATTTAATCAACAGTGTGATGATTAATGATGATAAATACCGAATTTATTTTTCAAGATTATTGGGATGATTAGAAAATCGTTCATAAAGATTCAACTTTCGAGCAATAACTAATTTGAATTATAGGTATGAAACCCTTTTCTGCTGGAGTCGATGCTTACATTCCCTAATACATAAATATAAGATCTATCTCTTTCCTACCACTGCCTTCACACCCTTTCTTTTTTTTTATGTAAGAGGAGGCAGAAAAGCAGATGGGTCACCTGATGGAAAGTGACTCAGGAGTCACAAACGCGTTGCCGCCCTTTTAAGTAGGAGTACGCTCTTCTCTTAAAGGTTTGAAAGAAGATAACTTGTTCCACATATTAATTGTGCGAGGTAAAAAGTGTCTTGAAAAGCGCACAGTGGTAGGTGATAGTGGTATGTTACGCCAAACCACTTTCATTCCACTGACATGATTTGAGTGGCCATCGAGTCGCCATTGACATCGGTCAAAATATTGGTAGTCTGCACTACCTCAGTGTCTTTAAAGTGACAATGGAATGGCAGTGGCTCATCAGTGGTGACATCAAAAAGATTGCCATATGTGGACAATTAAATAAATCATTTCCTTATAAATTAAAAATGTATTAGTTACGTCTTTTTATTTTGGTCCATAAAGTTGTTATGGATTTATCATATTTATTGATACAATTGTATAAACTACAACGACATAATACACCGTAATTAATGAAATCATCGTTGGCTGTTTGTGAGTGCTATTGCCAAACGAAAAAAAAGTGACACTGACTTATTTATCATTGACGGAACAGACCAACAAAATTAAAATGTTTTCTAAAGTAATAGTAAGTACTTACTTCCATATTTTTTAAATGTTATCGATGAAATAAAATTATATATTATCTATTTCTGCAAACAAATTACAGAAGAAATTAAACACAATATTAATAAAATTATGGTTTAACACTACATAGTGCATCATTGTCTTTACTTTGAATTTATATAATTCAAACTCCTAAATTCGTTGCAGAAATGGCAAGTGAGGTGCAATTAGTCGCTTTTGATGTTCCTGGTTAAAGTAAGAATGCAGTCAGGCGAAGCAATTATGGACGGAGTGCGTAAATATATGGTATTTGGCTAGACTGCCAAAGTAGAGAGAGAGATCTTTCACTACTTAAAATAAAGAAAGCAGCTTTATTTTAATAATATACTATTGTAAGTTAAATAATAATAAAGAATACAAATAAAAAATCAAAGAAGGTAGAGAAAATAAGAAACAAAAATCAGAGCGGCAGCTGATGAACTTTATAATTATTTTGACATTTAATAAAATAATAACCATGGTAAAAATACATAACTTTTATTGTGAAACTAGTATAACATATTTGTTCTCCTAGGATGAACTTCATAGTTTTCAGGAGATGCCCCAACAACTCTCCTCCTCTCTCCTCTCTCATTACCTTAACACTGCTATAAGAGTGCGCCCATATTTGTAGCGCCCAGATATTTCTCGGGAAAACGTCATCGAGAGTCGAAACAAACTTGTGTCTGAAATTGAAACTTCCTTAGCGGAGGTTTCAGACTAGGGCCGACTAAATCTAGTCTAGTTTAACCCAAAAAAGACACAGACGCGTTCCCCGCAAAGAAGATGCCATTTGTCGTCTCACCTCGGTTTGAAAGCGCCTCCGTAACTGCCTCAGCCAGCATCGGAATCCTAGGCACATATCGAGCGAAGTCCAGTTTTTTGGTCATTTAGAGGGTTAGGTCAAATTGGTCTCGAAGAAGCTCGGTGTGCTGAACAGATCGAGGCAGTTTTTCACTCCGGCCCACCGCCTTCAGCTCTATATGGCAAATTTGCTCTATAAGGCAAAGGCAAGTCCAGTCGCATATGGAATACTGTTCTCATCCCTATGCAGTACCATCTTCTCCCTCTGGATCGCATCCAACGAAGAGCAACTCGAATCGTCGATAGCCCAAACATCTCCGATCGGCTCGATCCCTTGGCATTACGTAGAGATGTGGCTTCACTCTGCATTCTCTATCGCATATGTCATGGAGAGTGCTCCGAGGAATTGATCGGACTAATACCAGCCGCAACTTTCCGCCATCGTTCCACACGGCAAAATTTTCATCCTCATCACCTGGATAGTTGTGAAAAAGTGTCTCGAAAAGCGCACAGTAGTGGAACGCCATCCACTATTGTGCGCTTTGCGAGACACTTTTTGCCCCGCGCAAAAACATAAAACATGAGATTCACTTGATAGAGTTAATTTTATCAATACCTGAACTCAGTGTCTTTAGTGTTTCAACACTCCAAAACAGCGCTTCAAAGTATTGGGTGCAGTTGTATGCAAAGTATATTAATGATCTGCAGTTCATTCAGTGTTGTTTAAAATTGGAGTGATCATCCACTTGCATAAGGTGTATCACAAAGTAATTTTAAACCATTTGTAATAAATTCTTTAATATAATAATAACTCTTAAATAAATTAAATCTTTCAATAACCAATCGACTGACACAAAACTGAAATATTATACAAATGGTTTCTAGACATTGTACATTTTATTTCAACAAATAGGGTATTAAGCTTAAACCAAAATAAAATGAATTTGTTTTATTTTAGTCAAAGTTATTACGTACCTACGTATCATAAAGTACCTATGTACTCACCTGCTAAAAATAAATGATCTTCACCGGGACCCATTAAGTGTTGTCTGAGTGGATTACCGGAGTCATGGGCTGCATAAGGAATATTGGCATAGACACACATGATGTTTAGATGAGAATCACATACCTGTTAATTATTGAAAACATTAAGTAAACTGAAAATTTAATCTTTGATAAATAAACATGTAGATTTAATAGGTAGGTGTAAATTGTCAACACTGGCTCCCCAACAGCCTTCATTACAGATTTCACTAGGAGGCAATCATCTCTTAGGTAAAGTTTTAGGTACACCTCTCGATCATGAGCGGCCTCCTTTAGTTGGCGATATCGCAGTCCGGTCCAGGCCACGATGTCATCTATCCACTTCCTTCGTGGTCGACCTGGTGTCCTCCTGCCTGGTATTTTTCCTTCTAACAGAAGCCTCAGGAATTCATGTTGCGGGCCCCTTTGTATGTGTCCAAAGAAGGCCACCTTCCTTTTCGCTATAACCGCCATCAGTTCTCTCCTGCACTTGGCTCGCTCCAGCACCTCTACGTTGGATGTAAAACTAGTCCACGGGATTTTAAACATCTTCCGCAATAACCACATCTCGAAGGCTTGCAGTCGGTTACATATGTCTTTCCTTAAGACCCACGTCTCACACCCATACAACAGTGTGGACCAAACGTAGCATTTCATGACGCGGTGCCTCAATGGAAATGGGATTTTTGGGTCGCATAAAAAAAAAAAAATCTACTTACTGTAAATCTGAAGCTAGATTTAATTAAAATTTTAAAGTATAATTGGAATTGCTCTACTTAGAGTTAAACGAATTAACAAAACATTGTGCCATCCACAACCTACAACCACAAATCTCTTCAACGAATTACTAGCACTTCAAAAGGTTGAAAAGGTAATCCGCTTTATAAGCTGAATCCCAAGATCATGGTCGGAATTACGACGAAATCCGTTTTGCCTATAAATTTGGTCGCAGCTTGAATGTCCGTAATTGCACACACGAGAGGTAATTCGAATAAACTCGAACATCAAGCTCGGATTGAAGTGCATAGTTAATTGTTTTTATCATTTTTGGAATATTGTTTAAAACTTTAGATTAATTATTGAGATTGGAAGACTCTTAATATAAAATAACACAACTAATATTTAGAGTGTTGTTAATACACATTTTTTTTCAGAAAGTAGTAATTTGTTTAGGTATGTATTTATATGTAATATTAAAATGTATAGGTGTAGTATATGACAGATTTGTATATGTGTATATATTATATGATTTTTTACAAAGTACACATATAATATTAAATGTCTTAATCAACTGTACCTAAAATGCACCTACTTCCTGTTTTCTCTGCATCACCCAAAAGTTGACTGGTAGAGAATGCCCTAGGCATTAAGTCTAATGCACCAAATGTGCATGGTGTGTAAATAAATAAATAATTTGTTTATTTAGAAATTCTGTAATCTTTGACGAAATATTGTTTGAAAAAATAGTAGATTCGTATTTCCTCATCATGCCATGTCAGGACCAATTGGATCGTGAACACAATTTTCTATCAATCATGTCCGCTGTCCACTTGTCATTGGGTGTTTGATATTTGTTTGTTAGCGTGAAAATCAAATCAAACCAAAAATATTGTCATGCAAACGTTGCCAAGACGGGGCCATACGGCTCGCACTATCAATAAGTTATTAGATCTTATGTAGAGCCAAGCTTCTAATTCTGCAAGCCCTAACTTTACAAACTCTACACTTTACTCAAAACATGTAGCTTGGCGTTACTCAAAGAACTATTATATAACAGAAAAGTAATGAACTGTGAATACATTTTTAACCTTATAATGACGGTAGCGATGATCAGTGAGTCAGTGACGATATCGGGGTTATTTAGATATCAATAAAATGTGAAGTATACGAGCTATGCAATTCAAACTTTGTATGTTTAATACGTCTACTATTGACATCATATCTCGAGAATTTTGTTTATCTGGTAGAATCCAAACCCAAGTTATGAGGGTTAAAAAAAAAGACGGAGCACTTCGAGAAAAGGTAGGTAGTGCCCTTGTACTTCGCTTGGCTGGTCTTAGCGGGGTCACCACTAATATTTTATTATAGATTGATTATAAAACCAGTAATTTTCTATAAAATAACTAAACTCTTAGTCTTCTCATCGGTTAGCAAAACGAACATGTTTTCTAATATAATAGAAAATGGCGCAAACTGTATGTGAAATATTAGGATGATGTTTATTTTATATAAATTTACATGGAACTTTCCCTGATAAAAGAAAAGATGGAAATTGAAAAAGGTGAAAAAGATTTATTCAAGATATGTTGAGAGTTTAGATTTTAAACTTATTTAGAATGGGAAAGGTATGGGAATGTAATTCAAAACGTCATGAAGGCGTGTAATGTCTTATACGACAAAGTTAGATTAATAATAACACGACGAGAAAAAGAGAACAAACTTTTTAACTTTTGTAGATGAACTTGGCACAAGTTTTCTGTCAAGTGATGGATAATAGATTTACCGGGGCGTATAATATTTTACATACAGAACTTTGCTTTAGCTCTGTTTAATCTATTTTCATTTAGGTCGCTCGTATTTACGGTTGTCTGCTATTAAGCTACGTAGTCAATATATAAAACATATTAAAGCAGTAAGAACATTGTCCACAGGTAGCGCGGGCGCGGGTGCGGGTGCGGTTGCAGCCATGGCCGGCTGATGGACCCGGGCTGGTGGTCACCGTCGCCGTCGGCTTCCCCGCCGCCGCCGCCCCGCGCCCCGCCACCCCGCTGTCGATGCCGACAACCGTTCTCCACCAGCTACACTTGTTTGCCACACTATGGTTAGTTTATGCCTGCCCATTTTCTATTATTAAGCTTTTGCCCGCTACTTCACTCGTGGCGTGATTATTTCTTATATCGTGATTCTATTTTTAAAAAAAAAAACTACCATACAACCGCTCATCTCTTATTTTACCCCCTTTGGGATGAAATTTAAAAAAAAGCTTATCTTAGAGGGTGTTTTGAACATAAAAAGCATTAGCTGCCAATATTTCAAGTTTGTAGCCCCCGAGGTTAAGACTCTGCATTAATGAATGTCACTCAGTATTTTATTATTTGGTAGGTATGTATAGATTGGTGGGTTTTTTATCAAGACTATTACTTACTAGTACTGATTATTACGAGTATCTTAATGTATCATGTCGTATGACACACTTATAAGAACAGATTCTTCATAAACGTCTCTATATGTACATATAGGTACTGTTATCTATTTTGAACAATCAATGAAGTTAGCAGTTTTTTATTTAAAACTCAGTACATGTACCTAGTAGTATTTATGATGCTGAGGGAAGCACTTAATGAGATGATTCAGTTTATTGTTTACACCTACAGATAAAAGATTTACAGACAGACCTGTTAGTATGAAACTAAGCTCAAATAACGCGTTACAATCTGTGTACGATAAAGAACGTCCGTGAACCTCGCTTTTTATTCACAGTATTTTTCTGACTTCAGCCATTTTGGTACAAAAACAGACAAAAGCGTCCTATTTTATGAGGTCTACAAGGAACCAGGGGAGCATAACATGTTGTAGATCATAAAATGTAACTTGTTGCTGATCGGTTGCCCGATAAATCTGTCCTTTTCTCTTAAACATAAATCATAGTTTACGAAAACGCTTTTTGACTTATCTACGGATCTACGGATACTCTTAACAGTAAGGTTATTTAAATATAAAACATTTTTAATAACCTTAGATAAATTCTCAAAAATAATTCTGTATAGAAAGGATTTAATATCGTATGAAAACTAAATGATAAAAGGTTGAAAAAATAATTTTCTAATGTAATGTAATTAACTGTGTATTAATGGATACCATAAAAATGACATAAGGATATTAAAAACAATACAATCTACATCTGTATCGATTTGGTATTCTTAGGAGATAGGTATTTATTTAAAAAATAAGTGTTATATGTGTGTAAACACATATAACACTTATACGTAGAAACTTACTATTAAATAGTTATTCATTATTATATGAATTAGATTAGAATTAATAACATTATATTATTAACTAACAACAAAATATCATGGACTTACGTGCAATTAACTAATAATTATGATATTATTGTACACAGTTGACGACCACATCTAAGTTAATTTTTAACAGCAATTTTTAAATAAGGTAACGGAGCCTCTCGACAAAAGAGGAGCCTCAGCCAGCTCCAAACAGACCGCCTTAAACAGTACTATGTTTCTGATGGTCGGAAAAGTCAACTCATCTACAGCGGGCGAGTATAATTGCTGTTGATAAGCACGTTTAACTGCTTTTAATCTAAGGGTATTGTATCATCACCACCCTTAAATGAAATTAAAATAATTAACAACTCAAAACGTAAGTTAAAGGGAATAACACAATATAGAGTATTCATCAGCTTCTTGTTTTTTTCTTTATTTTACGACGGTGGTGTGCCTGATGTCTTTCTAAAGTAGGTACGAAATAGAAACATTTGCTTTATAACATAATGATAAACTTAGCGAACTATAATAGCTAAGGTTCATGTGGTTGTGACTGTACTCCTTCGCATGGCAGAGCGAGATATACGAGTATAAAGTTTCTATTTAAGTTGGTAAACGTCCATTGTAATTCTGTATCTGTTATACTAAACTACTATCTCACTATGCCAGACTTTATGTTTTTAAACGTTCGCTATAAATTTCTATAAATATTAGATGTGTAAATCGGGACTTAACCGTTTTAATGATGACATAATACAATACTACCACTTAGTTAACTTACTATTTGCATCATCCTTTGAGTAACAAGCACGACAGTTTACTAATAGTGTCTACACTGAGGTGGTGATGTAAGATTTGGAATTTAAATCACAGTTTTTAACATCTAAAAATAAAATACCATACATATAATATTCATGCCTCTATGGCATGAATATTAAAATACCTTACTGTGGCAACCTGTATATTCTTTAGACAAAGAAATCTATATTTAAATATAAATTATTTTTTACACGAAAATGTTTAAAACTTCTCATCTAAATATTTATAAGTGTTAAGTTGGTTTGTGTACGCTTCAAAAACACAAATAGTACTACACCGATTGAGCTCAAATTTGAAAGAATTTTGTTATCCATTTTTCTCCACATTTTTTGTTCCTCATTTCACATCAATGCAGCCACAGTGAAGCGTGGCAGGGTTACAGCTAGTTAAATATATACAATATATGTTTAAAAGATTTCTGGTGACGTAATTTTTTCATTAGGAGCTAGGTACTTATGAATATACTCATACTCAGGAACTATTCATGTAAACTCCATTTTGCTCGCTGTGAAAATAACTTAATGATTGCTTTATTGTTGCTGAGTGGACTTGAAGCAGTAATTTCAACATTAATTTTACTTGAATATTTACTGGAAAAGCCCTTATGAAATCACATAAACTATTCTTTTAGTAATCTATTTTCCTATTGTTCATACAAAAGTTCAAATTAAACAAGAGGTCAAGGACCTCTGCGGTTTGGCAGTTGCGTAGAAAAGACTTCACTTCAAAACGTAAAAATCTTTTTTTACTTTTTACGATTTATTTCCCCGACCGTATGTTCATCGTCCGGATGTGAGGCACTTAGTCGCTCGGCTTTTCTTTCTTTAGAGTCCTTACATTTAAAAGGCCTTTTTCCACTTGTTTTGTCTTGGGTAAAGATTAATGGTGTCTCAAATTGAACGAAGCGTGTGATCTCAGAATCGGTCAGTGGTAATCAATTTCCTCTTTTTCGTGGTGAAAACTTATACGCCTTTCTTATATATTTTGTATGCCAGTTTAGTTTTCAAATATCATCATGAATCAAACTGACCATATTTTTTAACCTTATAATTATTAAAATTGATAAACTTCTGTTGAACCTTATTATTTTCTTGATTTTTGATCGTATATGAGGGTTGTTTAGTACAAATCTCTACTAATATTTTAAATGCGAAAGTAACTCTGTCTGTCTGCTATGCTTTCACAGCTAAACCGTTAACCGATTTTAAGGGAATTCGGCATGAAGACACTTTGATTCTTGAGGAAGATTTTTACCGCGATAAGCAATAGTGCGATAACATTATATGTGTGATATTAACTGAAATCGTATTATTTTATCAATCGCTCTATAATTATATGACTTTTTATGGAGGTTGGATCATCAAACAGTAAGTATTTCATTCGCCGGACGTCTCTGGACAACCCAGAATTCAAATAATAAAAATAAACATACTAAATAATGTTTACAGACACAAGATTTATTAGTTATCTGTATTATTTAAGAATTGGTTCATCTATGACGCCCAACCCATATATATTAAATACGTCTTATGAAGTCTTAATGGCTATTTATAATTTATTAGCCGCTTCCCAAACCACTTAATCTAAGATGTAATGCGCATATTTTAACACTACTGTTATATGTGATATATTACTTGGCCTAATAAATGTTTGAAGAATACAAGGATTAAACTATATTTCAAAATAAAAACATTATTAATACTTGTATTAAGTTTATTAAAGTTATGATGTACAATAATTTAAAAGATAGTACATGATTATGACAAATCTTTCTAAGTATTAAGTACACGATATTTGAGGTACAGGCAACATTGGCAGCAGAAGCACAAAATAGTCCAACAATGCATTGGTTTAATATCTCAGCGGCAGTCCATCTTGTTAGGTGAACCTCAGTAACAACACTCGAAGGCTCAACACATGGAATAGAATTAATATAATAAAATAGTTAAGACTTAGCAAATTATAATACATTTTTCTTTAGAACCTGTCCAATTCACTAATTAAAGCTGTGATACTGCTAGATAATACCATAAGGCGAAACCGGTCAAGTCAAGTTTATTTAAATAGTGGAATACAAGTACAAGTGAATTTGTTTTCGCAATGTATTTCAACAAGTTCCACCAAGTGCTGACAATTGAGAGTATAATTAAATTAAAGCTTCCCAAAAACATTATTACAAAAAATATTATGTTAGGAAATACCCGATTTCTACTTGAATTTAGAAGCCAAGCGATGGGAAGGATATTTAACCTTAATTCAGTAAAAAAAAAGCGGATAGTTGGTGTCCTTGTATGGGAATTCAATTATATGATAAAATAAGTTTGTGCAGTACTTGAAATAACGCAAGTCTGTTAACTTTACTTATTTTTACAAAATACATAACTGTATTTTTTATTAAGGTGTCAAGTAACTCGCTCTCGATCATAAAAAAATGAATTTAGTATACCATAAAATGCGAATAATAAACATTCAAATATTCAAAAAATATTTTTACGATCGTTAAACATTTTCGTCAACAATAATTAGAGAGAACGGAACCCGTGTATTTATAATAGGTACTTGGGCACAAAAGTACCAGAGAATTGTGATATTCAGCCTCGGGTATATCGAATTCGCCTAAATCAAACCAATTTTGTTAAAGGTTTTATGCATTGACATAATAAAAGTGGATATAGTGATTCAAGGTTTGGCACACACATAATTAAGAATAAACAAAAGTTTATTGCGAGGCCAATACAGATTAGCGATGAAATCGATGCAGAAAACATAAATAGTCTAGTGCATAGACTTATCTGAGATATTCTTGAAATATTTTATTATATTTATGCAACACTCAATCCAAGAATTTGGTCAACAAAGGGAATGGATGAGACACACCTGTTTGTGAAACTGAAATATGAATAATTAAGACAGCAAGTGAGGAATACTTAATATTAACATGTGAAAAAGTTCTTTGTAATTTTTTAAACAAATATTATTTTGCCGCACGGAAGCATATTTGGTATATTTATTGATTCCATATATTCTATAGTTACAAGAAGTACAGAAAGCTATAATATTTAAACGAAATGACATAAACTTCAAGTTCAAGTCAATTTATGTAAAAAGGATAACATAAATCTAAATTTACTCGTACCTACATACTATGTATGTACCTATGTCATACGAGTACTACGTTACTTACATTGGACACGTTACGTGCTACAAATTTAATAACATATCGCCTCCCTATGTTGATGATAGGCTTTCTGAAAATAAGATTAAATTTCTCGATCTGTTTTGCTTTGATTACTTAGAGAAACGCTATCAAAGCATGATTACTCAAAGCTAAATCGACTGCCTATAATTTATCAGTGTATTGTTCACAGAATTTATGCTTGTTGTATTGTTCAAACATCGAAGGTTTATTTATATACATATATAGCTGAGTGATTAATCTCAAACAGACTTAGATAGTATATTATAAACAAGATTCGTATTTCGAATTACAATCTGATTACACTATTAAGGCGGATGTAATTACGATGAAAATGTAAGAAAAATATTGTGTTTTATGTTAATTGCTCTAATTTTTAGCAAATAAAGTTTCAGAAGTCGTTTTATGTACGTGCTTTTGGCTAGCCGATGAATGGTTCATAATTCATCAAGTCAACATGAACATTATGTACATCTCTTGTACTTATATCAAGTCTCATCCACGCACCAAAGTCCAAAGATGTGGATCTTTGTTGATTTATCCGAGCGTTGACAAAATTAAAAGAGTTATTCTATATATAATATAAATAAAATGGTAATGCTTTTGATTTTACTAGATTGCGTTATGAACTTTTTTTCGAAAATTGTTTTTCTAAATTACTGAATTTTAACCATGACAGCCAATTTTCCATTGCTGTGTTACGGTGTATTGAATTTTGATGTATATGTGGTACATGTTATAAATAATTGTTAATCATAAAACATCTAATTCAAGAAGTCTATTCTTGTTAGTTCTACAAACTGTAAAATGTTTCAGCTTTAATAGTATTAAAGTTAAACACAAACTAGCAGCAGCTAACCAGCGGGTTAGCTGGCGAGCTCGCTAGGATTGTAAATAATATTGAAGACAGTCGAAGTTTAACTAGGAATGGACCAAATTAAGTTTGTACCATAATCACATGGGTGCATATGGAGAAACAATAGTTAACTACCGGTTCTCATTTAGCAGTCCCTAGGGAATAATAACTTATGTTTATAGAAAATTCGTTGGAAGATTAAATTTCTCGATCTGTTTTGCTTTGATTACTTAGAGAAACGCTATCAAAGCATGATTACTCAAAGCTAAATCGACTGCCTATAATTTATCAGTGTATTGTTCACAGAATTTATGCTTGTTGTATTGTTCAAACATCGAAGGTTTATTTATATACATATATAGCTGAGTGATTAATCTCAAACAGACTTAGATAGTATATTATAAACAAGATTCGTATTTCGAATTACAATCTGATTACACTATTAAGGCGGATTTATAGAAAATTCGTTGGAGACCGCTTAATGTGTTTCGAATCCATAATATTTAACAATCTTAAGTTGGTTTGGATTCGCTTAATAACTCAAAAAGTTCTGCACCGAGTGAGCTCAAATTTTGACACAATATAATACGATATAATAGTGAGACAGAATGATTATATGAGTAAATAAAAGATAATCCAAATCAAACTCCGAGTTGTTATGATGTTCCATCTTTGACAAGGATAGATATAACATCCTTTTTTTTAATAAAGGGGCAAAAAGCGACTGCCACCTTCAATGGTCACCTGCAACTCAAAAAATGAAAGCGAAGTTAAGAACTCCAGAATCGCAATTGGCGTTAAAACTCTTAGTGTGCCCCAACCCCTAGAATTAGGTGGGAAAGGGACTTGGTAGCATTGTAGTCGAGCTGGCCCATATTTGCCAAAATGAAATTGAAATGATATTTATTTCTGTATGTAAATCTTTTCAGATATTTTTTCAAGCCAAAGCATGGCTCCTCAATGGTTCTCCGTAACAATAATGAAATAACTCGTCCCACTCTGTCAGTTTCTTATAAAATGTAGTTGACCATAAATATATCAGTTATCAATATTTCAATGATCGATTTATAAAATTCTTAACAGCTAACAGATCAGAGACTTTTTTACGTGAGTGGGAACTAGGAGGAGCCATGTCGTTTCAATGGCCGCCTCGAATTCGCGCATTTCTGACGCCGTTGGACACTTCACAAGAATATCTACCGCGTCGTCATTGCGGCAACCCTCGCAATAAAGATACGCGGGTATTAACTTCAAGCTTATACGAAGCAGGTATTTGCCGATGTAACCGTAGGTACCTCGTGAGTTTCTTTGCTATATCACCTATCGAACCTTTTGTTGCCTTGGGATCTTGCCTTCACAAATTTTTAGTTACTAATCCTATTCTCACACTGATAACCACAAAACCACTTGATAATAATGCGTTTGACTTGTGATTTATAGCCTGATTGGGGAATTATCATCAGCATTCATTGGAGGTATTTCTCTCTAATTAATCGACTAAACTTCTAACCAACTATTGCGTTTTCTTCTTTTAATAATATGGAAACATACATTATTTTTTCAATATCTTGAAAACATTATGTTCAGCCTCCCTAACTTCGATAAGCTCATTGTCAATCAATATGCACTGGCATGAAGTTGTTCATAAAAGTTTGTATGGATGTTCCGTCGACTATTACATATTATTGTGTACATTATGTTGATTTTCCTTTTTATTTTCATGACCTAGGGGCAAACGAGCAGGCGACACCTAATGATAAGTGTCTACCGCTGCCCATGAATATCTTAAGTTAAAGTTTTTTGCCTACCTTTGAGGAAAAGGGGGGTACAATCATTTATACGATAATTTGTTCTATGTCTAGGTGTGATTTGTCTATAATATACATGTATTTAGAAATATATAAGTATGTTTATCAGCAGTCTGGTTATTAACATAGTACAGGCTCTGCCTATTTTGGAATCAGACGTCCGTGTGTGTAATGTGTGAAGTTATTATTTCTTCTTGAAAGTATTCTTTTAGTCGTATCATATCGGTCCGGTTGTGTGACTTAAAAATCATTAATAGACAATATAAATACATGATTCAAAGAACATTAAAATCCCTACTTATAAGGTAAATGTGAAAGGAACTTTATCTGTTTGTCTGTTACACTTTCATATCTAAGCCGCTGAACTAAGTTTAATGAAATTTGTCGTGGAGATACTTTGAGTCTCGAGGTCCATCATAGGCAACATTTTACCGCGATAACCGACATAACATACAAGCGGCCGGAGTATGAAATAATACTTGATACATCAGCCTATGGACGTATGACGCTAGTTATTCAAGTTTCCGAGGTTCCCAAGATGCAAAAGCGGTTTGAATATTCCGTATTGCTACAGGCAAGCCTAAAACAACACGTTGTACTCGTATATAAAATATTATTATAATAAACCAACCATACAAACTCGCCATTGTTTAAATTAAACTACTACTATTTCCGACTCATTAGAGTCCTGGAAGTTTTAGTTAACAAAATGATCTTTGATAACACGGAATGTAGATAACTTTGTGTGTTTGATAACTTTGTCTGTGTGGAAATTACAAATTTTATTTAGTAGCCTGCGGACTTCTGAACAAAGGATCATAAAAACTACAGCGCATGGGCTATACTAGAGCGAAACTAAAATACTAAATATAATAGATATATAAATAAATATGCTTGAACTGACACTAAATGCAACCCTTGTAACCCTTTCCCCTTTTAAACTTACACAGATTTGTATTTGTACTGTTACCAGTTTTTTGTTAACGGTAGTGTAATGTGTGCAGATGGGTGGCCAGACGGGGAGGAAGAATCTACGGGCGGTGCGCTGCGTGAACGCGAGCTGCGTTCGCTTCATCGTACCGTACCTGCCTTACGTCGCCGTGAACTTGACACGAGGGCTATCAAGCATCATTTCTATCCAGAAGGTGGATGGGGGTACGTATTAATAAAGTTCTTAACTTTAGATTGTCAAGATTATTATAATCATCATCAAGTATTTCTAGTTACTTCTATACCTTTAAAAGATAAACGGTTGTACTCACGTGATTGTTTCGGACCTTTATCCAGGACCATTACAGGTATTACAACCACTTTAGTGACATGTTTTTCTGGCGTGAATTTGGCAGTTTACGTTCGTTCGAAACGAATTTATTTTCATTATATTTTAAGGTACGAAACATAAAGAGACAATTTAATTACTTTGTTAAAAACGCCAGTCAGAATGAACTGGCATTTATGTTTGACAGGGATAAGCAAGCGCTTTCTGACTGATGTCGCTAGATTGAATTATGTTAAAATGGATTTATTAATGCCAGTCAAGCGACATTTGGTGGTTTTCGCCCTCATTAACTTAATAGCGGTAGAAATATAAATCATTGTTTTATTAGTCCCTAATCACGATATACAATATTGCCCTCAATATCTTATAATCTGTAATGTAAACTTAATACAAGATAAAGAGAGAAATTGTCTCTCTTTATTTATAAGGTAGGTAGGAAGCATCATACTGTAATGGAACAGAATTTATTTACTTTACTTAGTTCTAATATTGCTAAAAAAATAAATAAAAATGATTTTAAATACGACAGTACAAATATCTAAGATTACTTTTATTACTCTAAAAATATTTCTATGACTATAAAATATAATTTAAAAAGTAGAATTTGTGAACATACAATGCACACATAACTGTAACAGTAAAGGTAGCATTCGGCTCTTAGCGACAGCGACGCGACCATTCGACTACGCGACATTGGTCGCCGGTCGCGGAGCAACCCATAGCTTTTAGTCGGATAGAATTAGCCAATTTCATGTCGAAAATCGGAGAAATTAAAAACTGGGTTAACAGGAAATTCGTTAGATAATAGCGTCAGAAATAACATCCAATTTGAGTTTGAGTTTGAAGTTTAAAGGCCAATCCAAAGTCAGGCATTCGGATTGGCAATTAAACTTAATATGTAATTTCTGACGCGATTATCCAGCGAAAAAAATTTAAAACCATGGTCATCAATTTCACTTTCAAAAAATCGAATTCTATCCGACTATCGCCGATGTTAGCCACGCAACGCGCGACCGCAACATCGCCACTCTTCCCGCAGTTTTTATTCGAAATGGTTGCTTCCGTTTGCAGTGCAATATGTCGATATGTCGGAACACTGTCCGTTTGCACTGCCTATGGGCCACCCCATAGGCAGTGCAGGTTTGTTCAGTACCTACTCCATATAAATTCATACAAAACAGTGGGTCGCGCGAACTAGTCGCGGCAGCTAAGAACTGAATGAACTGGGTTGTTTAGTACCCATAGTACAAGTTCTGGAAAAACTGGAACTGTAGTACACTAAATAAGTGCAATTTCCAAAATAATAACAGGGATTAAAAAAGTTTTGAAAATATAGCATAAAACGCATTTACTGAAATCGCGCAATAAGTACCGAAAAGCAGAAATAAAATATATTTATTTACTTTGTCATGATAATCTAATTAAGTTTAAGTCCCTATTCATCAGTATTTTTATCAATTCCACCCAGACTGACATAACATTATACAGCAAAAACAGCAAACTTAGAAATCTCGTGCAAATGTAGAAACTTAATTTTAGTCACGTAAATGTGAAGTTACTGAGGAGAATCATGGTGGACGAATTGTGTGCCACTAGCATAGATAAAATCTATTTATTTCAATGCACACGTTTTTACTTTTGCACTATTTTATTTTGGTTTATGTTAGTGTTGGAGATAAGCATTCCTGTAGTCTTATCGACACTTTAATAGATATGATGTAATTGATGTTGCAAGTATTTTAAAACGTCAACATACCGTCAATCGAGTCCATGATTGTTTTTCAACAAAGCTTTCTATTTGTACTCGTAAGTAATCTCCAACTTGTTAGTGCAGTCAGCTTCAAAGTAGCTCAAAGAAATAATCTTGATGCAATTGTCATTCCGCTTAAGTATTGAAGTTATCTAATGTACTTTTAGTGGTGAATGAGCTTCTTATGTGAGAATTTTGTAAGAAACAAGTTGCTCTATTACAAGTTGTTATTTTACCTCAGTTATATAGGTTTGAACGTATTCTGTAAAATTTAGTTTCTACATATTAGAGCATAACAGTAAAAAAAAGATAAATAAATAACTTTGCAAAAATTTCAAAGATTTTGAATCGCAATAAGTACTTGCGTTACCGATACTGATAAACGAGAGTTATTATTATTTATTTAGTTCAGACTATCCATATCTCAAATACAATATACATCCAATATCAAAAATTTAATTATATAGCAAATATATAAATAGGTAAAAAATACTATTATCTTATTAATTACAATATTATCAGGTCAGATGACAGTTTCTACCCATCTTCTAAATGTCGAGGTATGTATAAGTCTCTCTGCCATACACCTAACAATCAAATTATCGCATACACCGACTCTGGACATGAAATAATCAATGATCTTCCGTTGAATGGCGTTACAAGAGTCAAAAAGTGCCTCCTTCAGAATTACAGATGCGCTTCAATCTCATTAATTGCCTGAAGATATTATTGTAAGCGACACGTATTCTGTCATGCGTCTTTTTAGTAAAATCAGTCCAGAACTGGCCCGTGTAGAAGGTTTGGCAGAAAGACCTAAAGAGAGAAACTTTTACATCTGGCGAGCACCCGTAAAATTTACAGGCTATCATATTCCCTATGCAACAGAGAGACATTCGTTGTCGTTCTACGTCGGCATTATCCTTAAGGCTGGATGTAACGATATGGCCAAGGTACTTGAATGCTTCCACTATCTTAACAGGGTGCCGATTCAAAAATACTGTTGCCACGTTTTTTGGACTGTGTTGTCACGTTTTACATTATAAAGTAAATCATGCTCAGTGTGTATCTCTCACATGTGATAATTAACTTTTTGAAGCCTTTGACCGAGGGGCTCAGCAGATACACTACACTTTTGGGTAACTAGCCTTAATTAATGAGGTAATAATAAATTTCGTTTTTGCGGGATGAATTACTTTTTATGGAATTCATAAGAATACCAAATAAAATTGTGTAATATTAAAGATTCATAAGACTACGTGTAGACTTTTTAGACACCCAGATGTCATATCCATGAACGTGCAACACAACATACTATTCAATGGACCGATTTGTTTTTTTTCTTTCGATACACTAGTGGAAAGTAACATTAAAAATGTTTCCAATCAAACCTTGACTGAACACTTCGTACTGTGTGAATATAAAATTTCGTCATGCCATCAAATTGACAAATGAGAGAATGAAAGTAAAAGAACTGGAACCACCAAGAGAATAAAGCATAAATACTTACATTAAAATGTGAAAGACTAACAGGTTCGTCAAACAAAGCTTTTGAAATACCAACTTTTTTATTACTTTTTTCAGCTCTGTGATAAAGTGTTGTCGAAGATCAATATTTTTTTCGCGACTGCGAGATGATTTATAAAGTTAAATGTATTTGTTTGAATATATTATTTATCTATATCGTTCTTTTTTGGTGCATGACTGTTTTTACTGTCTAAACAAATGATGAATATTTAATTTTCATAAGAAAAATTAATAATGATAAGAAAATAACCAAAATCAGTTTGTGTTGTTTTAAAATAATTTTTCTTTACACTTCGTAACGCTGATACCACTTCATAGTCATATTATCTTCTTGAGTAAATATCTTTTAGGATCTGTTAGTTATTTTGTATACTTTTCAATTTTTTTTACAACTAAATACCAAATTTTCCGCCCACTATAATCTTTTTACACTGGGAAACTCGATTCTGATTGACCACTAGATACACGGTGACATGTTGGTACATTATCACTAAATGTTGATAAATGACAATAAATGTGTGTCGTGTGAACACGAATTTCAAATTTTTTCTGGGACGCAAACGTGACAGATCTTACATGAAGACATAACGTCACAACCAGTTGCGGTAAACTTTATTTGGAAGAAAAACACGACTTAAACTTACACAGTTAGCAAAAACGAGATTTAATGTGTTGAAATATATAATTATTTTGTTTCAAAACAGAACTTTAAAGAACAAAACTAATATTTTAAAAAATAACTTACCTACTGACTTTAAACATCATCGGTACCTAACGCATTTGTGATCTCTAGAATTCAAAGTGATTTTTAAATCAACTCAACATTAACGCAAGCTAATCCGCGTGCAAAAGGTAGTACTTATTTTTTTAGATTTTTATAGTTTTTACTGAATTCAACAAAGAAAGATGTCTCCTTTGACTTAAAATTGTAAACTGAAACACCGGAAAAGCCAATTTGCCATCAAGTGTAAGTTTAAGTCTAAATACTATTTAACTATAAATGTAAGAATATATTACCTTAATCTACATCGCTTATTAAATCGCGCGATTACATAAACGCGCTCGTGCAAAATTTTCCGACCTTGACCTCTTCAAATTGTTTTCTTGAAGTTTATACGGGCATAATTCGGGGGATCTCAAACATAAACGTACCGTTAGGGCTCGGTTAAACGAGGTGAAAGTTTTCTTGCGTCCGACGCGCAGTGTTGCCGTGTTTTATGTTAAGGGAACGGCGAATGTAGATTCTAGTTACTAGGCAATAATATTCAAATTCCTTTTTGATCACGCAACTGCTCGGACTTCGCGCACGTTCAGTGCTGTCACTACAAAGACTTTATTGCTCTTTCTAATTAAAAGTGTAGTTAGCAAAATATACAACGTACTTTGCGGTAACCACTCGAACTCTAAATAACTATTCAGGCTCACGCGGTTGACGCGTTGTATTTTTTTTTGTATGGTCACAATTAAATTTGGTTAACATAAACGCGCCTTTAAGGTAGTCCAAGTTGTCTCACAGTGACATAAAATCGTGTTTTAAAGATACCTCGAATGACTATATACCTATTTTTATTTATACCGCAGTGCTTGCAAAATATAATTTTTAATATTAACTAAAATATTTAAAATTAACTATAATATTGAACCAAATTCTTGTGCGAAATGCAACATTATTCAAAGATTGTCACAAAGGTTTATATTCACACGCTGAGGGGCATGACAGGAATTGCAATATCGTCCCATACGGGAAATTGAAAGCAAACATTTTTGGAGGCGACCGCACACCAAAGAATCTTTTAGTCCCACCTTCGCATTCATCTTGGTGTCTTTGAATAGCTCTTTCAATGTGTCTCATATAAAATGAACAAGAATTTCATAAAATTAGCTTACCAAATATTTCAATGGGAATCTTTTCTTTATTCAATAGAATTGGAAAATTACGAAGGTTTCGGTAAATATTTTCAGATTTTATATTTATGTATAAACCATAAATATACTATCTTATGTTTATTTCATATTTTAAAGCAGTACTACAAATCTTTGATGTTGGCTTCACTGATGGTGTAAATAATTGTAATGACTATATTATTCTGCAAAGTGGCAATTTATATTCCAATATTATGCCATTGTCATAACCAGTACCCAATCATTTGCACCTCGTGGCGAAGAAATATCAGATATTTCGTAAAATTCAAGTCCTTTTAAATCAAACACTTACAATGAATGACAAAGAACAATAATAAATATTATTTAGGTAATTATTTATGCAAAATGGAAAATTCTGCAAGATGTGTTTTATGTGATCTATAAATCTATCTATCTTTTCATCTACCGTTATGTGCGGGCAGCATAGGACCGGTTGTTATGTTGTTGTCAGCCCTATGTCCAGCAGTATTACCAGTGTCCAGCAACCAATACTGAAATGAGTAAAAACAAAACAGAACATTGTGTGCTCATTTGTTTGTCTGTCTGTAGGGTTTACATTACAATATCAAAAAAACATTGAAAGTAATATTTGTTAATAGTTACTGCATGACGCGTAGGGACCTATTACAAGAAATCGTAAAAAAAAGCGTTTTTTTTAAACATGTTATTATGTTTATTTATTATTATGTTATTTTTTTAGACATAGATTTACGAAATTACATCTATTACCAAAATTCTATCGTATTCAACTCAGACAGTGAAGATCTTTTGTTCAATACGCTGGTAATTGAGGGCTCTGACATGTTTCATGTATTTATTCGTTGTAACACATACATTCATTTAATTTTGTGAGTGAAACATGAAAGCTCTTTTCTTTTGTAAGGTGTTCCTTTTTTTTCTCCGACTGATTATAAAAGTCGGCTATTATATTATGCTAGAATATAAAATCTGCAACCAGAAAGAAAGATAGTTCCGATCATTTCATTAATTGTATTTTGGTCTCATATTACTTTCCCCTTTATTTGATAGATCTAACTCATGAGCAACTTAATAATTTAGATAAGGAAACTTACTCCAAATTTCAATCTAATATGTAAACATTGCTTAATATTTAATGTGAAGTATTTAAGTGAGTCAACCCTTACTGGGAAGAGAATAATAATAATTCACATTTCTAATAACAGTAATAAACGTAAGTCTTAAAATACAGATTTAAACGTAAATTCCCTTATGAACTGTGGTATCTCGTCAGCTCCATATTTTGCGGTAAAATTATCGAACCCACTAATTGTGTCAGGCAATCTAAAGTATGTCGTGTTACTTTTGTCATAGCAAATCATATCTGGATCTAATAACATCTATTAACAAATGACATTATATAACCAGATTATTCGCCATTCGCAGAATACGATACCTAATATTTAAATAGAATATACCTTAAATAACAGACATTTTCCTAGCAAGTTATTCAGCCCTATGTGAATCTTCCACGGGAAAAGGAGAATCTTGAAAGGGAGATATGAACGTAATATACTACATGGAGCGCTTCCGTTTTTAACGAAGTAAAAAATATGCATAGTAAGAGAGGGTGAGGTTTTTTAAACCTTACCCATGTAAAAACACTTTCATGAGAAAGTTTTCGGTGAAACCGTCAAACGGTGTCGAAGTTTACTGATTTTATAAAAATTAATAAACATTTTCATTCTGATTATTTTTACTATTATTTTTCTGGCAAATCGGTACAAAGTAGGCAAAAAATAATAAAATATGATTTAAAATTAGAATCAAAAATACTTAAAACCTCGGATGAAAATCGAAACGTGAACGTGTATCACAAACTTTATTTTAGCGATCTTTTTCTCGATTCAGGCAAAGGAGTTAAATTTAAAGAAAAGTAATGCGTACACCAATTACGAGAAAGGCTTTTTTTGTTTAATGTAGCTACAGTCTTAGTTATACAACACAGATAGCTAATGTGGATTTTCTTAACAGGTGGATTGTATGCGGTGCCGCTTTCCTTGCCCATCTACTGTCTACTGGACTGCAGCTAGCCTATGGTGCTCTTCATGTTTACGCTTTGAGACATCTCGGTTCTCACGCTGACCATGTCGGTATGTACATGATACATGTCTATATATTTAGCTCTGTAGTCTCTATTAAACAAATAAATACTCAATTAATTACATAATAATATGTATACTCTTTAACGGTAATGCAGTGAAACCTAGTTTTCTTTGCGTTGTTTCGATGGCAACACTTTGAACGGTTTTGGCTAAGTGCTCGGTGACACGAAGGGCGTTTGGCCTTGCTTGATATAGTATATCAAGCGTACATGATTCTAGGCCTGCGGGGCATGTTAACAAATGGCCCATTGTCTGTGGAGACATCTGCCAACCTGGGTACGCAACCTATTGAGCGGCTATTGGCCAGTGGAGTTTGTCTCCTGAAGGTAGTGAAAACTAGTAGACTTATAGACCTATTTTTAGTTGATACAACCTCACAAAAGGTATAATAAATTATTTTAAACGGCTAATGATACCTGAATCTTCAATATCTAAGCTATTCATTCAGAATAGTTCTTTATACAAATTAGATTTGCTGTTATATTACACAATTAACTAATGAACACATTAATATATATTAATATAAATAACCTGAAATATTTCTTCCCTCATTTCTGAATGTCTCAAAAAATGACCACCCCAATAGGTTGACATACATAAAAATGTGTTCCTCGTATTTGCAGATTAGAGACATAAATAAAATCTGTTTTTTTACTGAATCTCAATATCTATTTTACTTCCTTTTACTGCTTTAGGTTCTCTAAAAATATGGTAATAAAACATTTACATGAGCACACCGTTTTGTTGCCAAAAAAAAAGTCCCTTGTATTTTCAGACCAGAGAAGTGAATAAAATTCGTGTCCTCGGTTAGTCTCAACATCCTACAATACAACTAAACTCATTTTAGAGGGCTTCACAGAAATATAATACAAAATAATCAATGTACGTTTGTTCCTATTTTAAGCGCTGATGAGACGTTCTTTAAGCGTTAGTGAGTCCTTCCAAAATTTGACTTACTTCTCTTGAGTGAAGGAATAATTACCAGTGCGCGAGCAAAGCCACGGGCAAAAGTAGTAAATAAAACGTCGTAATAAACGACAACAGCTTTTTTATGTCATGTTACAACTGAATGTAAGATTGAGGAAAAATAACTTTGAATGCGTAGCCGGAGCCGACGAGGGACTGAGAGTAGAAAAGTAATCTATCAACCACAACCCTCCGGAAATAATACTTGAATAAACAGACAACGATGAATATATATTTACGAGTCCAAATAATATCATTATTCAAGAAGTAAAGGAGTTACTCTTGGCAAACGTTTAATTATTGTATTGCTGTTATTGGTTCTGATAAGATTTTTTTTTTTCATATTAACATTTCGAGAAAGACTAATACTAGAAAATAGAACGCGTTGGACAGAGATTTGTATCAAAATTTATAATAAATCCAATTCATCATAAGAAATAAGCAAAACATTATGTATACCTTACTCCCCTTATGACCAAACGTAAGGCTTATTTAATTATCTTAATTAATCTAATACTTACATCGATCGAAGTGGCATGCAATAGGAGAGGCCTATGTCCAGCAGTGGACTGCGATAGGCTGATGATAATGATGATCCAATACTTGAAAGATACTTTTAATTAAATTAAATTCAATTACTTCATAACATTGTTTTAAATAATGTGTGTTTTTTCAATATGTCTAAATCATCACACGCCATCTTAACGTAACAACATGTTTCCTGTCAGTGTTACTTTGATAAAAGAAAAAAGTAGAAAACAATCTTACGTCTGCCTATTCATCATTCATTCATTCATCAACAGCCTTTAATAGTCTACTGCTTGGACATAAGCCTCTCCTTAGAAAGGAGCTGTTGGCCTACTATACACGTACCACGCTGGCCAGACAGGTTGGTATCGGCTTAATGTCAAGTTTTGGTTCTCTTTGCAGTGCTGTTGTCCTGCGTAGTTTCCTCCCTCAATCGGCTCTTACGATACCCACGGGATGAATTATATAGGTGTGGTGACACTGAATGAATGAATGAAATTAATTAATTAATTCTGTCTATGTCAATCTTTAACCGCTAATTCCATTATTAATTTTTAAAACAATATAACCGACTTCAATGTGTCGAAACCATGATGAATTTTGTATTCTTCAGTCCTTGATTTCACTCTTGAATCTGATTTTTTCTTCCAATTTGAATGAGACAAATACTATTATTTTTATTTGAAAGGGTATAAGTTTCTATAAGGTCAATAGGACGTATATTGACGGAGTTCTGAGGAAATAAACGTAAAAAAAAACGAATTCAGAACCCCCTCCATTTTTGAAGTTGGTTGAAAATGTTTTAACAGTTGTCTTGTTATTAGGATAATAACAGGTAAATAAACTTAGAAGACAAAGGTTAGGCTGAAAAAAAAATAAAACTAAAGAAACCATAATTAAAAGAAAAGGTAGAAACATAAAAAATGGAAATGAGTAACACATTAGCTCACACTACAGTTTTACTAATTATTTGAAATAGCCTGTGAGCCCAAATCCCAAGCGTTTTTATCTCGTATACTTATAGTCTGTTAGAGAATACAGCTGTCGTTTTTGTTAAACTTATTAACACCTAACATTTCTATATTTTATGACATTTTATTATACAGTCTAACACATTCACCTCGAAAAGTCTCGTCAATTTATTGGAGTCATGTAGGTGTTAAAAAAATGTATATCACACATGTGTACAGAACTGATGTTTATTTTCATGAAGGTAAACCAGATTTTCATAAATATACGGCCGCTTGTGTTTCTATCTTACCGAAAAAGTAAAGCTTTTCTATTCACATAAAGTCTATTCGACAAAGCTCTGCTAAGTTTATGAATGTGATATAATATGATATGAACTTTTGTTATAAAGAACCGATCATAAGATAACTCTTCAAAGTCATTCGAAGTAAAAAGTACTATATAAATATTATATAAATATATATTATAAATACATACAACATACAAACATCATATAAAAAAACGTATCTCGTTCCCAACTTTTCATTTTGAAATTATGGCATACATCACAGCACATATAAATCTTTCTTCGGTGTTTTGCACTATAGACAACTGTGGTTATAACGTACATAACCGCAGCACGTCTCGTCTGTTTAATACACAGACATTATTATTCCTAAAAGAATAAAGGAACCCGTAATATACTCTAAATGGTCTGATTATTGTTTCATATTATGATAATAAATCAAAGCAATTTGAGACAGGTGTCGTAATAATTATTATATTTAGTTTGTCATTATGGTAAAACTCGGACGTATGGTGCACATAGAGTACGTTTTGTAAAGTAGTAGTTGTTTGTTGAAAGATACTTCTATATTTTACCTTTTTAACCTTATCTAGATTTGTAATAGATTTTTTTAAAAACTTATTTACGTATCTCTAAATTCTTATGTTACTGATGTTTTTTTATAATATTATGTACAATGTAGATTCCTCAACAAAATTATAGAAAACCATAACAGTTACTCACTTTCCTTAATCATGTTAAAAGTATAAAATGGTGAGGATCGAGATAGTTTTTAGAATGCGATTTTAGCTGAGGGAATAAACACCAATCAGTTCGTTTACTACAATTTTATAAAACAAGGATGTTTAATTAATATTTCCAATGTTCTATCTGTTATACATTTCGCAAATAAATCTAAGATTACCATCCTTTACCAGTATCAGATGTTTTCTAAAGCTGTTTTGCGATAAAGATGTTTCACAACAAAAAGCCCGCGTTTTGTCAGCTTAAATGCAAGATTGGCTATTAACTAAATGAAGTTTCCCGGTCGCCTGTATTTGTGGAGCGAACTGATTTATTGAATTAATTTTCCAAGATTCACGACTGAGCCTGAATATTAAGAGGTAGAAGTAATTTTGGTTATGAGCATGGTCTTTGTTGTCAGTAGCGTGGGTGGGCCAGACGCACATAACTCTATCAAGTCCGCCCTTTGCGCCACTCCCAAATTGGAATTTAGCCACGTTAACGAGTTGAGACAGACTCTTCATAGAAAATTTACGTCCGAAGGTTATCACAATGTAAATATATAACTTACTGTATCTAATCTATGTTAAGTTTAAACCTACCTGCTCCGATCTGTCAATCTGAAATAATCTTTCCATGACAACAGATTGAGTTCTGAAGGTATACTCAAAGAAATACCTATGGTTACTTTTTACTTTTACTACCAACTAACAATTACTACCAACAGTGTTCAACCTCGCACTGTACACTGTAGATAGTGTTTGCTGTGCGGTCGAAAAGCGATTTTGGTTCCACAAACTTTTAAATCATGTAATAATTTCGTAATTTCTAAACTGAAAATCTCAAAGTAAAAATTTAAGTATAAAACTAGTAGCCCGAATTAAATTCTTAGAAAAGTAGACTTAAGTAGAAGTAACTTCGAAAATAAATTACAGTCAGAATTTTTCAGGCTAGCTTCACTATGGACGAAACACAGAGAAGTTATATATAACTACATCGTAACATAAGCCGTTAAATAGTAAGGTAACGCCTATAACAACTAAGCCATTTATGCAGTTTTACAATTTCGACTTATTCCTTCAACTTATAAAATTTAAAAAAGTGGCTATTAAATTTTATGGTTAAAGTATCAACGTAAAAGATTTTTAGCACTCGGTTTTCATTGCAAAAAGTTGTAAAGATAACGATAGTATGTACGACAATCTGTGTAACGGTCCTCGTCCGTCCTTCTACAATAATTGAGTTAAGTAAACCTTGGCATTGTCTTCCAAATTACCACTGTCTCCATCTAATGTACTTTATTTCCACCTCACAATTGTGTTTGGCTCCAATTAACGACGGCAAAGAATTTATCATACTTTTTATCTGCAAACACATCGTGAGTCACACAATATACAACATTGTGTCATGGCGTAATGGCCATATAAGATAACGTGTCGTCGTGCAATAAGGAGATGAGATGATTAATTACGATTGACGATGTTCGGTTTACTTGATATCACTGCGATATCGGAGTATCTTTATTTAATATTATTAAACTTGGCTATTATACGTCCTAACTATTATTAGGTATATGTTGAAAAGAACGATTATCATTCTGTAAGATCTTAAGAAAACTATGTGGAAAACTATGTATATACAAATATACAATTGTTTGTCAGTGGATGTATGAATTCAGTCTGAAAAATGGACACGATACAAAGAAAAGCCTGTCGACAATTTTGCCTCGCCTTGCAGACGATAACCCGTTCCACAGATTGGTTGTGGCATAAAGTAACGAATGCCAACTATCCAGGTGATGAGGATGAAAATTTTGCCGTATGGAACGATGGCGGAAAGTTGGGGCTGGTTGGTGGCCGGAAAGACCGAACAATTCCTCGGTGCACTCTCCATGATATATGCGATAGAGAATACAGAGTGAAGACTCATCCAAGGGATCGAGCCGATCGGAGATGTAGGGGCTATCGACGATTCGAGTCGCTCTTCGTTGAATTTATATTAAACAGAAAGTTTTTTAAGCCACATTTTACATAAACTTTAACGGCTTCTTGGCAATGTTTATTTTACATACAGTGACTGTTATGAGAACCATAAACTTTCTATAGAATTATTCGAAATTACGACCAACAATATTTTGACGTGTAACGTTTACCTCAACTTCTACTGGCTCCTTATTCAACTTGTTTGTTTTGTATCTTTCAAATAAATTGTGTCTTTTTCCGTTTCAAGTTTAAGCATTTTTCGCGAAACAGTGTTTTCCTTTTAGGATCTTTATTTTATTGTACCTATATCATTTTATGCAAGAACAGATAAGTAACATTAATATGACTGCTTATGTGAGTTACTTGTCATTTCGCCTGAAACAAGGTTGCCCGACAGGAGGAATTGACATAATTTGACTTTACCTTTTTTGTCGTTCTCTGACACGACACTGAAAATCTGAGGTGGTTGTTGTTGGTTGAAATGTGCAGACTACTATAAAAAGGCTTATGTAATAAAATTGTTTAACGTTAAAACATTTAAGAGAAGTACTGTTTGAGACCAACTTTAAATAAAAGAAAATTTCGTTCGCGTGGATTTCGAAAAGCACTGCCTTAGTGGGTTCAATTCCCGGATAGGGTAAAAATTTATGGGGTTCTTCTGAGAGGAAAAAATAACCTAAGTTACTCCTTATATAGACAGCTAATTGGTAGTGGAAAATATTATCAAAATCGGTCCAGGCGTTAAGAAGATAACCCAGAACTAACAGACAGACAGACAAAAAAAACTGGTTTTTAGGCATAAGTATCGTGCAAATACCCGTATTGGCATGAAAAAAACCTATTATTTGGACATTAAAAACAGACACTTAAATTTGTGTAGATAATAGTCAACAAGACTACATCGTTTTTTAACGAACTTGTTATATAGATACGTTTTATCAACTTATGACCCTGGTAAAATATTTCACCGATCAACGTAACGGATATCGTTCTATTTTCATAGATTTTATTAGAAGATGCTTACGATACCCGCGGGAAATTATATGGTTTCTATTTTTATCCATGACCGTGGTTACAATGTTATTTTGACTCACTTATATTTAGAACAACCTTTACCTATTTTCATGAAATATAAACATAAATTTATGTTAAGATTTGTTACTATAATTATACATTTATGTGTGATATGTTTTTAGTTTGGGCGGGCGCTATCTGCGTGGGAGTTTCCCGTGCCGCAGGCGCCCTTGTAGCGGGTCAACGAAGATCACCGAGGCTTATAGCTCTGCTTGGAGGTCTGTTACTGCCCCTGGCTTGTCTTTTCACTTCGTTCGCAACGCAGTTTCATCAAACTTTACTTAGTTATGGTAAGTTTACGTTTTTGTATAATAATAAGATAGTGTATACTTTTAGAGGAGTAAATAATTTGCGGATGTCTTATTATTTTGTAATATTGAACGTCTATAGTCATAAAACCAAGAAAAATTTGCTAAACATAAAAATTCGAAGTCAGGTAAGCAGGAGAGAAGCGAGATACAATTCCGTGGGTTCTATCCCACTTTTCATGTTACAAATTAAGTAGGCTTAGGTAGAAGTTAAACCATAAAATTTAATTAACTATTACATTTGTTATTCATAGGAAAGTTCAGGCCTATTCAAATACACCTATTAACGAGACTTAACGCAACTAATATTTCCACTAAGCAGGAATCGTAATCTGCCGTCTAAGGAATATGCCGAATAAGGAATCTGCCGTCGTTATTGAATCTAACGAGTTGGCTTGTTGGTTTTGCTTACTATTCTTATTTTAACGGCTCTTGCTAAGCGTTTTCGTTATACATTCAGTAAAGAATAGGGTCAAATGTATAAGTGAGTAGAAGAAATTTTTAAATGTGGATGTTTTCGGAAAAAATACGGCGATTTCTTATAAGAAATTAGGAAGTTAGGTAATGAAATGAAAATGAAACGGTTTCTTAGAAGAAAATTCTGGATGCGTTAAAAAAAATTTAAAGCCTAATATTATATCCCGTGTCGTCTACAGACATAATGATAATTACACCTCATAGTTACCTAAATCTGCCAAGAACGTAGAGCGTTTCAAGGCACAATAGAAACATCAGCAGTCGAATAACAAAAATTGTTATTACAATTTCCATGATCACGCCACTTGAATTGTTTTTCTAGTTTTTAGACAAGGACGCCTCAAAGAACCTTTTTATATAAAAAATAAACATTGTGTTAATAAAGAAAACTATAAAAATATGTTAAACCTGTCATAGGATAAGGCAAGTTATGAGAGTGTTGTATGCTGGTCTTTGGGGGATAAGTAACGTAACAAACCTAAAGAAATCTTTTATTAAGAAAGATTTCTTTTAAAATACAATGTTATTATTTTAATAAAAAAGATTATAAATGTATAAGTAAATGCTTACACTTAAAGAGCACAACGTGTTTTTGTTCAAATTGAGGCTATCGGAATGATAAACAAATCTACCAGTTACAAGACCATTTAATTGCAACTGTAGTAGGATAGAACTGTATTTAGAAAGGTGTAGTAACGAAGGCGCAAAGGAACGTGTTAACACATTTTTTTTGATACATTCTGTATTTGACAATCAGATATGTCACGTCACATTCAAGGTTCACAGGTTATGCATCATAGGTAGGTTATCATTGTGACGCTCGATGTCTGTGTGATTTGCTTAATATTGGTGGCTGATTATTAATAAAGTAGATTTTCTATACTAACTTAAAAAAATCGTGTTTCATAAGATAGAATTACAAGAGATAGAATTAGTGCGGTCAATAGGTAGGCACTAGTTGAGTCAGCTTGTGACCACAAACAGTGCCACGTGATCGAAACGTCAAGTAACTTAGATCTTAAATTCAAAATTATATTTCCTAATTCCTAACCTAATCCCGAATTCAAAATTATATTTTAAAATTGTGTTTTGTACAGGTGTGGTCCTCGGCGTTGGTTGCGGTCTAGTTAGGGAGGCGGCTGGTCTAGTACTAGGTGCCTACTTTAGAAGAAGGCGGCAATTCGTGGAGTTGGTAGCCCACGCCGGCGGAGGAGTCGGCATCGCTCTCTTCAGTGTCGCTTATAAAGAAGCTGTCGGGTGTGTTAATTATATACTCAACTTTAATAACCGTACATTATTAATTTCAAAGCAGTTAGCCAATTCATAGAGTGTTACTGTGTCAAGAGATAAGCAAAGCACGCAATTAGATGTTTGCTTATATGGTCCATATATTCATTTTAATAATTGAGAAAATGCTGCTTACAATGAAATAAGTGTGTATCAGTATAATATACCAACTCATGTTTTTAATATTCAGTACTAGAAATATCGTTTTTCATATTAAACCTTCGCCGTTTTAAATATAATAATATGTCAGTGTTTCTGAGGGAGTGTGGAACTGAAGTTAATTTAATGTAAGCTGAACAAGAAAGAAGAGCAGGTTAACTGCTAAACTTGCATTTCGCTTTTCTATGAGGTTTTCTCGATCACTATTAGGCAGTTAATATTTTAATAAATGAGAAAGTTCTAACCAATTAACATCTTTAATAAAAATACTGCGCTAACATGAAGAACTGTTTACTTAAAATATAATATTAGTGCTTAAAATATTATATTCTTAACAGGAAATTAGGTTGGCGCTTAGGTCTACAGGCAGTGACTGGAGTCCTCGTTTTGGCTTTCTTTCTGAGCGCTGTGTACCGCAGCGCTTCTCTTTATCATCCGCAACGACGTGCCATTTTGCATCTTAAAAACCAAAGACGAAAAGTAAGACCAACCAAGTTAACTACTTTTACTTAGTTATTTTAAATTTTGTGACTACACAATAAAGTTGAAGATCACTTAGTTATTATTATTACTTATTTTTACTTAGTTATTTTAAATTTTGTGACTCCACAATAAACTTGAAGATCATAAAAGTAATATTTCAATTTATATATGCATACAATGAGTTTGCAGAGGTGTATTAAACGTAATTTTTGTTTATGCATACCTTCAGGGCTACTTCAGTTAAATATAAAATGAGACCAATTACGGGTCTATGTTTGTTGAAATACCTCTTAATTTAACGATTAAACGGTTTTCTTTTCAGGTAAAAGAGAAAAAAGCCTTAAAAAGAACACCGCTTATCGATTTAAGCTCTCTTCAATCGAGACCTGCAAAAGTTTTGTTATTAGCGGCCGGGGTGGCTGCGTTTGGAGTTTACACTCCAGTGTTTTTTTTGGTAAGTTTGTTTGGCAAGGTTGAGTAAAAAAATCCCTTCGTGATTAATTATCATTTGCTGTTCTCAGGCTTTACAAGGATTTCAAGAAGGATTGGAAGAAAGCGCTTTAGTGCTACTTCAAACTTTTTTGGGCTTCGCTGCTGTGCTCGGTTGTGCTGGCTTTGGGCTTGTGCTAGTACGACCGTCAGCGCAGTGTCTCGTCTCAAAACAGTATTTGTGCCAAACTGCATTGCTAGGCATAGGTAAAAATACTTTATACTTTTCCTTAGCCGGTATTTGATCTGATCTGATTGAGGATATTTAAAATGTATATTTTTTTTAGGTATTTCCATGCTCGCTTTAAGCAGTGTTGAAGGTTATCACGGCTACGTGCTATTCGCATGGATGTATGGACTTTGTTTAGGCGGATTTTTGTATTCCATGAAGATGCTCACAATGGAACGCGTTCGCGGCCGGCACTTCACGAAAGTTTGGGGTAAGAATATAAAATTTACACATTACGCTTTCAGTGTTTTAGTAGTACTGACTTGGTATTAAGACTATAAATATTTCTTTTCTATAGGCTTTGTGCAAGGCGCGGAAGCAATTCCTGTAATTGTAGGTGTACCCATGACTGGATATATCAACCAACAGGTACCAAGAGCAGGCTTCTACTTCTCAACAGCGGCAACATTAGCTGGAGCATTACTCCTATTCTTTGTTGGATATTCTAAGAGAGAGCCAGAGCCTCCACCTCCTGCACCTGCTCCAACCGTAGCTGAGTCGTGTCCATGTGTGACACCACCACCGAGATGTGAACCTGCATGGTGTGCCTGCAGCGCTGGAGGAGCAACTGCATACTGCGCTTGGCCCGGTCCTACATGTGGATCTCGTCTTCCAAAGTCCCTTTCTTACGCTGCACCGCTTGATCGAGTGTGTTGTTCTGCAGCACATTGTCCAGATTGCTACCGCCGGGCTCCTCCACTTCGCCCGTCGCGTAGTGTACCTGAGGGTCTAGCAGCTCGCGGCAATACCTGGTCCCGCGGCGGCTCTTGTCGGACGGGATGTCGCCGGAGAGAACACCATCTCATTGAACAGATCACCACATCCGTATGATATCTGTTACATAAACACAATTCGTGATATACTTGGTGTTGAAAGTGCGTAAATTATTGTTTGATTTTAGGGATTGGAAAGGAATTGTGTGAATAGTAATTGTTTTAGTAGAAAATTTATATAATTGTATTGATATAAGCATTTAAGTGATAGAATTCATGGAGCAATAAAATGGAAAACAATAATTTTACCAAAGGCATTAATCATAATCAAATGATATGTAAGAAAAAACTAATAGACTTTTAAGTTAAGCCTTTTAGACAACCAAATACTTCGTTCAAAGTCTAGGTGCATATTCAGACTGTAAGCATCCAGAACTTTTAATATTCCGTAACACTTTGGTACCTATGGATCTTAGTTTAATTTAATAAAGATAATTTTATAAACTAAAAATAATGATAAAAATATTCTATAACTAGTACTTGAAAATCACTGACCCATAATGGATCTTTAAAACTATAAAAAAAATGTAAACATTTATGTTTAAAATTTTGAATTTTAATATTACCTACGGATAAATTAAACATAACAACACAAAATCAAGTGTAGTATTGTTAATGTAAAATAAAATAAATAGCTCATTTTCCTACTTCTTAACATACTCGTGGGACCTTTTTCGTAGTTAAAAAAAACATTTTATATCGTAGAACCATCACTTTTAAATAAAAAATCCTTTAATCTTTGTGTCATGTCTACCTATCTTGTCAGAAAAATATATTACAAAATTAATAATTGACTTTCCTACTATCATAAAAGTAATGAATTGGAATCTGACAATGTATAATATACAAATATTCAATGATGATTCTGTAACAATGAATTGAGCGCCACTATTTTAAAAATAAAGCTTCGTTTTTCGTCACTGTTTATTGTTTCGGAGTCAAATAAGAAGATACTGAAATAAAAATGTTCAGCGATTTATTGTTTTTAAGTTTATTCTATAGTTCTAAAAACTAATTCATTTGAATTGATTGTTTAACATCGGAACCAGAATTGAAATTGATTAATTGTTTTGTTTTTCGAATTTTTGGTGCCAATTTGTTATAATGCTCTGTGTGATTCAATTACTAAAAAGAATATATAATAATATAATCAATAGTCTATTTGGTAAAAACAAAGTCAATTTTAGCTAACACGTTACTGTTTAAAGTTATTTAGTTAAATTGTTTATTTATTGTTTATATAGAAGTATATTTTGATGTTAAACGATTTCTTGTTTTGTTACAAAGTGTGATTTACAGTTTTGGTGATAAATAAAAAATAAGTATTTAGGTTATTCTTTTCGCGTTTCTTTTCACCAATCCAATAATCTTAATTAAATTTGAGTAAATTGCTGTGTTGCTTGAAAATATATTTAAATGCGATAACCCGCCAGCTTAAAGTGATTTTAAAATGTTCAATTTAAAATTACGCAGGAGTCAGCAGACTGATTGCCTTTTGATAGACATCGAATAATATTGAAAGGAAAATGCTCTGTCATAACCTAAATTTATTGTATTTTCTATAAACCCTTGAACGTCGTAAACCAGGTAGAAATACAAAAGACCTATTGATGATGATGATCCCATCGTCTAGAATAAAAATTGAATAAACTCTGATGGAGGAACTTAAATTGGAATTTAATCGTTTTAGTTAAGAAATGAAATGATTAAATTCCTATTTCAATAGAACGTTCTGAAATACGCTATGTGTAATGTGTTGTGTAATCTACAAGCCGTAGACGGCCCGAGGTACGTCGAGGTACGAACTATTTCCTTCTTAGGGTACACCTGATCCCTCGGCTACTGGTACGCGAGACGGCGTGCGGTTTTTAGTCGGTTCGAGACAGACCCACCATACTGGGCTGAACCCTGGAGATCCACCCAAATCCTGCCCTTAACGTAAATTGATTCAGAAAAAGTTACTTGTGAGTGTTTGGTAGACTAGCGCCGGTGTCGTTAACTACAGCTTTCTAAAATCTGGCCAAACAATCACGGCAGACATCTATTGTCAGCAACTGCAAACCATGAAGGAAGAACTAGCTGCTAAACAACCGAAATTGGTCAATCGCTCTAGGCCACTGCTGCTTCACGACAACGCAAGACCACACACTGCACAACAGACAACCACTAAGTCAGATGAGCTACAATTGGAATGTCTGCGATATCCACCGTACTTCCCGGACCTTGCTCCAACAGATTGCCATTTTTTCGGGAATTTTGACAACTTCTCACAAGGAAAAAATTCAACTTCGATGCGGCAGTCCAAACCGCATTTAAAGAGTTTATTGATTCTCTAATGGTTTTTTTTAGTAAAGGGGTCGATGAACTACCTATGAGATGGCAAAACTGTTTGCAAATAACAACGGTGCATACTTTGATTAATTAAATATATTTTACAAAAAAAAGAAATTAACTTTATATTCCACGAGTACAAAACGCCAATTTAATATGTAAGGACCTAATAATGTGACGTAGGCTAAGGAGTTTTTAATATATTTTTTATGATTCACTTCACATTCTTTTTTATTTGATCTTTTTGCCTAATCTTATTTTTCTCTTGATTTCTTTCTGTCTTTCTTTTTCTTCTTTCTGTATTTTTACCGTTTTAAAGTCCTTAATAACAGACATACAAGCACGCCTCAGAACAATGTAGTGGTATATTAAATGATGAAATTGTATTTATCTGTAAATTACAAAAGAGTGGCCATGAGTTTGTTTGCCCTTTCTTTTCATAAAGCTCAACCCCTTGAAAACAGGCGGTTGTGGATCGGCACAGGCATCATGGATTTTGGATAAATATATTTTTTATTAAATTTATTTTCCTGATTATTTCACAAAACAGAGATTGTTGCTATTGTGTGTGTTACGACTCTAGTCTGCATAAAAGACGATTTCAAACAATTTAGAAATTTTTATGAAATAAATAAAATTTGAATTTGATCTATTTTACGACAAAAATACCTTTTATGACAATTGCGAGATCGAGATACTTCGGATCGGAACTTAATTGTGACCGAACTTTTATTACGCGAATTGGCCTTCTGGTCTATACGTTTGTGATGTCTACAAAACAGATCTCGGGATCGTATTGATTTCCTGACCTTTACGCCTACGCCAAACTCAAAAAATCAAGTCAAGAAATCCGATTTCAACCGATTCCATGTTTCGCTCGGCATATTGTTAATAAAATCTGAAAATGAGCTTTAAATTTCATTCAGATATGAGAGAATTTTAACACAACGAATTTTAAAGTTGACCGGACGCATGCCCTACGTACGTTTAATTTAAACTTACCAGCATTTAATCCAAAAGTTTAATAATTAACACAAACAGACAAGTAAGTTTTACTTGGCAATTACAATTTAAAATTAAATGAGTAGCGAAAGAAAGTAGATAGCTAAATAATGAATGTAATAATATATATGTATAGTAATTTGCATATAGATGTAGCTTTAGACAGTTTATTAAATAAACTATAAATAAGTCAGGTAGTGTTAATACTTAAACCTATTTTGTAGGTTATAGATACAATATACATTTCTTAGTGTCTTCTGTGCGGTGACATATTAAGAATACGGAGTGACACTCCGTGTCCACCCCTATTCATCCCGTGGGTGTCGTAAGAACTGACTAAGGAAGCAAACTGCGCAGGAAAACAGCACTGCAAAGAGAAGGAAAGGTTGTCACAAATCCGATACCAACCCGTCTAGCCAGCGTATGCCATAGTAGGCCATAACCTTGTTTCTAAGGCGAGGCCTCTGTCCGAGACTGTTAAAGGCTATTGATGTGATGTGATGATGTGACATTGCTTAAATTTTCTAGGCTAACAAATAGGCTGTCTCTACAGGACTAGTACCACGACCTTACAGAAAACCGATGTTAATCCATTCGTTCGTTGCTTTTGAGTGATGCGAGTGAGAGAGGTTACCGGAGCCTAAACTCTAGTTGCAGGTAAACCTGGGCGGCGGTAGTTACGTACCATCAGGTGATGCGTCTACTAACTTGCCCCCTATTCCACCAAGAAGTAAATATATTCTAAACTTCTTCCTAAAAATATGAAAGCGAAAATATGAAAGCATTTGTCATTTATCAGGCATCAGGGGCATCAGCCACGACTAGGAAACAGATAAGCCAGTAGATTTAAATTGATCCTTGTCAATTCACTTATCTATTGACATAAAAAAAAATGTGTTTAACAAATTAAACCATGAAAAAGTATTTTTTATTTTATTGTTAAATTATATTTGTGTCAGTTATTGAGTAGGAATAATATGACTTTTATTGTAAATAGACATAACCACGTTACGGTTAAGTCCTACTATGACATTAGCTGTGAAATATTTCTGCAAAAAACATAATTATTTAAAGTACATTTTCGGAAAATTTTAATTTCAAATGGATATTTGTATGTAACACCCCATCGCATTAAACTAATTATATATATTATATGAAAATAGTCCAATTGAAAAATGAAAAAGAATAAATGAAACGCAGATAAAATATACATTTCTCGATGTACATATGTGTGCCCAGAATATTTAATTTTAATTCACAAAAAACGCTGATGGGTAAATTCACAAAAAAACAAATATAGCAATCAAATGTAAGTTTGCTATATGTATAATTCGGTTTAGTATTCACGGGAGGACGGTTTGATCCGCTCGCGCTCATAATTAAGTGAAACAACGTGAGGTCCGCGTGCAGTGCATATATTTTCCTAGGATTATGCAAATGCCCGGTCGGGCAAACGCCCTGGTCCATTCCGACTGCTTCTTCTTTCGTAAGCTGGCTATACATATAACTATACCATGTATGATATTAACTTATTCCGAAGATCCATATTTTTTACACTATTATCTCACCTGTCGTTTGCTTATACTGTGAGTCATTTCTGAATTGTGAATTTCTACATGTTTGGTAACCATAACAATTGTTTTATGATTTTACACTTGATTGTAGTTTAAATGAAATTCGTGATGTAATAAAATACTTATTTTTAGTAGAAGTGATTTAAGTATT